TTTTTAAGGTGAGGTTTTGCCTTTATCTTTATTAATAATTTGTGTTGAGAATCCACTAGGGGTTTCTCTGGTCTATAGTATAACTATTTATAACTTTTAAGCTTTATAACTTTTAAGCTTTATGGAATATTCGATTTTTTAAATAAAGATAAAAAGAATAACAAAATCAAAATAATCTTATCACAAAATCAATAAAATTGCACTTTGTCAATTACTTTATAGCATTGCAACAACAATGACAATAATTTTATTTTAGATAAAATAACACCTAATATTAATTATTTCAAGTACCAAACTAATTTATCATCTATAACAATATACCTGTGATAAATTTCCGATATAAATCTGCTAAATTTACAATATTTTGTCTTGAGAAACTTCTTGCATCTAAAAACAATTCAAATTATAGAATTTCATTTTTGAAATAAAATATTAATGTATTTGATAATTTGCTCTTACTTTGATTACAATAAATAATAAAGCAACTAAACATATTACTAAAATAGATTCAGATGCCGTGCCGTACAGAGCGGGTTAAATTGTTAAGGTGGCTATAGGCAAAAAAAATTATTAGGGTCACGTCGCTCAAATTTAATAACTTAAGAATAAAAATTAAGCAGCAGCATTTAGTAGTTGGTATTAATTAAGTCTTCACATAAATCTGATCGATCTATCTCATTAAGGTAAACATGATTTTAATTACCAAATACAATATACATCAAAAATCTAACTTACTTTCACTCGAATGTGCATCAACATTTATAACATTTGTAATGAATTCTACACAATTTTCTTCTGATAGCTGATTAAGATTTCGTAAAATATCGACCAATGCTGGACGTTCATCCGGCTCAGTAGACCAACATTTTTTGTAAAGGTCGGCATAAGCTTTGGGTGTTCCAGTAATAGTTTTTTCTCTTTTATTGTTTAAAATTAAAAAAAGAATGGAGAGCTGATTAAATTGATCAAATGGACTAACTCCACTTGTAAGTTCCCACAACAATACACCAAAGCTATATATATCAGATTTTTTATCTTTGAATTTTTTCTGAGGCTCGAGAAGATCTTGTGGTTCAATATATGCATATTGAAAAGATTCTGGTCCATCATTTGGATAAGTCAATATGGAACTATTCAATTGTCTTGACAAACAAAAATCTGTAATCAAGGCATGATTGTTATGTATCAAAACATTCATAGGATGCTAAAAATTTAATGTAAAAAAATATTTAGATTTTATCCAGAAATTATACTAAACATAAAAATAGACTAACTAGATTCTTATGAACTATATTCTCGTCATGTAAGTGTTTTAATCCAAGTGTAATTTCTTTCGCAATTCGGATAAGTTCCTTCCATGATATTTTATAAATGCCTTCCCTTTGTTTTGTTCCTAAATGTTCCTATAGGTTACCACCATTGGCATATTGTTGAATCAACATAAAATTACTACTTTGTTCATCTAAAAATATTATAATTTAAAAGTTTAAAAAAGTCATATCATTGATATAGTATTGTATATATCTTTTAAATTTATACCTCTCGAAATGCCATAGAATTTTATGATGTTTGGATGATGGATCTTACACAGAAGATTAATCTATTATCATATCATTTAATTAAATAGGAATATTAAGAATTCATATAATTAATATGAATAAAGCATTACCTCACGTATAACATTTTTCAGTTTTTTATTTTCAATACCCAGGTTATTGTTTAGGGATTTTATGATGTACATTTGTTCTTTGAAGATGGCCGAATATACCTTCACATTTCTCCCTTGTCCGATGAATTTTAAATCTCTGAATTGTGAAAAATCAAAATCTTTATATTGCAACTAGTTAATCTCTTCGCTAGTTCTTTTGAATATTCCTTTACTAATAGTTTAAGTATAATAAGTATTTAATAATAATTAAAAATATTTTATCGCACTGATTCACAAATATTAATGATAGCTTACATATATACATTGATATGGATTCGTTTGATGGATCAAGAGCCCTTTGAGCGGAAGAGAAGAGAAGTTTATTTCTGGTGATGAATTTAGGTGTTGCTCGGGTATAAATCACTGAAGGGTGCAAGGCACTGGAACCTCTATACTGTTTACTTATATATGGATACTACTGTATATTACACGTGGGTTTCAATTAATAATATATACTATTTATGTTATTTGGTTTAGAAATTTTTATATAAATTTCTTATTGTAAATTCTATTTATGTATTTAATTTATGTGTATTTATATCGATTTGGTTGTTATAAATAACTAAAAATTATCATGTGACAACGCATTGGGGACGTGACCTAAAACTTATTTATACGCGCTTTTAATTCTTAGTCAATAAACTTACAAAATAAATTATATTATCAAATTGTTCAGCAATCATCTTGATAAATTACACTTGAAACTAAATCGAATACAGCAATAATTTTTACTCATACAAATATTAAAATTATTGAATATACAAGAAGTAATAATTAAATTAATTCAACTCAATAGTCGAGGCTGCCAAGATCATGGGGTTTTTCTTATTGTTATATATTAATTTACTATGCAAAAGTCCTTTTTTTAACATAATAAAAATTAATTTTCATAACCCTCAAAAACTTATTCTAGTGACAATCTAAACAATTAATATAACAGATTCAGCTTTATAATGTATTAGCACTTAACTTTATTTTACTTTCTTGCTAATAAAAGTAATATGTTACTTCCGATTAGACGTGATATTTGTTACCAAAAAATGATCGTTATTAATCAATAACCAATAAAAATCAAAATACTCTAATACATCAATAAACAGCAAAAATAATACTGATTCCTTAGCAAGCCTCATATATCATATCAACCCAAAAGAAATCTATTTTTCAATTGAAAGCGTATCTAAAGAACATTACATTCAATTCCCCCTAATGAACCGCCTCTTTCATGAATTATTTCTTTTAATGCTTTATTCTCTTTAAAACCAAATTGATTATCATTAAATTGAAGTGAGGTTAAGGTTGAGTTTACATGAAGGGAATTAACTAACGCTCTTCCTACAGTAGTTGTAAGATCTAAAGAAGTTAAAGCATTATTTTTGTGAAGAGCATCTGTTAATGCATCTCCACCTTCAATTCCAAGTTGGTTAAAGGAAAGATCTAGAGTAGTTAACGTGCTGTTTTTACAAAGAGCATTTGCTAACGCTTTTCCTCTATCTGAGCCAAGTTGATTAAGTGAAAGATTCAAATCGATTAAACTGTTGTTTTTGATAAGAGCATCTGCTATTACTTTCCCTCCAAAAGAACCGAGATTATTATTTGAAAGGTCTAAAGTAGTTAAAGCGCCCATATAGTCTGAGTAGCTCAAGTAACCGAAGCCGTTAAGTCATTAATTTTTGCTTGTCGCATTAATTTATATTAAAGTGCAAAGTTCACCGTTCTTCATAAGCTTCAGTCACAATCTAAACAATTTATATAGAGCTTAAAATCTATTACAATCTTGCATAATCAACAACGTCTGAGACACAGAAACGGTCATAATTATTCTGAATTGGATAGATTGTTTTTGACAATTATATTCGAAAATTAAATCATAAAGTTGTTAATACTAGTACTTTATTGATTATAAGAAAGATTAGTAAATCTTAAATTTATTTCTTGGATAAGATTATAGTAAAATTAACAATTTATCTTTATTAAACTTTACGTTATTATCAAAAGCTTAACGAACATGTTATTTTGTTCTCGAAATTTATCAAATATAAAAGATAAAATTCAGTCATTATTTTCTAATAGTGTAAAATTTAATAAAACTAATTATAGTGCTAATAATTGTAACTAAATGCTCCATAAACCTTAAATTCAAAAAAAGGTTACTATTATCAGCAAACACGGCAGATATGACTGTGACATTGCTGTTCAAAAAAATTATTCCAAATAATAAAATTATACAAAAAATAATGAAAGTAAAAATAATGCATTTGGATTTTTTTTTCTTTCGATGATTATTATCGTTATCATTATTGATGATAACTGTGTTATCCACTTTAATTTCATCTCAATTTTCTTTTCGTTGTTCTTGTTGGTCGTGGTGATGGTGTTTGTTTAAAAGATTACAAATTTGACAACTACAGTTTTGAAAAACTTGACAAATACAAGTTTTATTTTACATGGGCTGGTCAAGAGACATAACTGATGGCTGGTGGTGATTATTTATATGAATATTGGCTTGAACAGGACTTGGTGGAGGTTGAGAAGATGATTGTTGTTGATATTGAACCTGATTAGTAATAGGACCATTAATAACATGAGGCTGAATTGGAAAACGCAATTGATGCTGTTGCTGGTTAATAACAGGTTGAGTATGTGTCATGTTGACCGGATGAATTAACTGTTGCTGGCTAATAACAGGTTGAGTATGTGTTATGTTGACTAAATGACTTTGTTGATTATTGAGATAACTCAATTGATGTTGGGGCTGGTTATTACAGGGAACTATGTCAAGATTATTATGGCTAATAAACTGTTCACGTTGATAAAGAATTTGTGGTGAATTGTTGGTGATGTCCAAACAATGATCGCATGGGCAATCTGGTTGATATTGCCAGTTGTCATCTGTTCTGAAAAGAGGCATAGGCATTTTTACTCAAATAAAAGTTTCAAAGTATGAAAGAATCCAAAGTATTTATATATTAGTAGCAATCATGTTTCAACTATCATAGTCAGCCAATGAACTTACCAGTTTTGGCAAAATAATATATCTTACGCATGAAAATTTTACTTTGTTTGATTCAGAGTTCAAAAAACTTTAATCATTCTCTAGAAAACTACTGTAAAACTCAACCAATAAACTTAATTTCGATAATGTCATGTGAAATTTTACTTTAAATTCAATAATTTTGCATGAAATTTTACTTTGTTAAGGCATTTCAAGGAAGCAAGGAAGCAATTTGATAGATGAAGGGGTCAGTCAATAGACTGATAAGCCTGAAAAGTTTATCCTGCATGAGATTCCGTCAAAACTTCAGAATCGGGTGTCTAATCACTTTCATCTCTGATACTGATTATGTCTGATATCGATTTATACACATAACGTGGCTTAATTATACTTTATAATCTACAATCTTTTCTAGTGTGGAAAATCGCATGAAATTCTATTTGGTTTGCGTGATGCACTAAAAAAAAGATCGAAAATTCGAACTGTCCATAGGGGTCATAGCAGACATAGCAATTGATTAAGAGATTATCTTTTTTGAAGCATTTTTGTATATGAAACAAATTCTATTACTATATATCTGTATATTTAAGCCAAATTTGGCACCAATATAAAAACTACTCTAACTTTAAGTTCAATTCTGGTTTTATGATAGAAATTACATGATTTTCATAAAATTTACTTTATCGATACCGGTTTTTAAAAGATCTCGATTTCAAGAATGAAAACTGGATTACATCAGATTACATGTATTATGCGTATATAAAGATAATAGATAATGAAAACACAATAACCGGATGTGACATTAATATAAAAAAGTACTCTAAATAAAGCTCAGTTACCCGGACAATTGATTGCATCAACCAATCAGATGAGTAGCGCCAATTTGACATGTTATTGTATAAGGTATGAATTTTATCTGTGATTGGCTAATTACGCAGAGTGCACCTCATGATTGTTCAGATTCAAGAAGTGTATAGGTTTTATGAACTTTAAGTAAGTCATATATCTTTAAACAAGGAACGAAAAATAAATTGAAATTATGTAGAATTGTCAAATTGATTACTTTGATAGTTTTGATGAATCTCATGTAAGGTAAACTTTTCGGGCTTCAGAATCGTGTGTTTCAGTAAAAATATCAATTACAATATCAATATCAAATAAATTTTTGTATAATATTTGACTTGTTCTTATTGTAAAAAAAAGTTTGGCACAAATCAAGCGCTAATATAAAAACTACACTAATTTTAAGTTCAATTCCGTTTTAGAAACATAAATTAGTTACTGGACAATTGATTTTCATTGGCCAATCAAATAAACGGTGAAATTTGACGTGTTATTATATATTATACGAATTTTATTTGTTATTGGATAATTACACGTATTACAGATAGTAAAAAGTCACTTGTAAATTTTATAATGATTATTAACATTATGTATGCTATTTGCTTCTGTTC